ATTTTCCATGGAAATGGTAGTGTATATTTATGTACTATTCTTTAAAAAAAAGCAAGCGTCATTATAGGTTAAAAACACATGGGTCGACAGACAATTAATGACTCTGATTTACCCTTTTCGTTAAGTGTTGTTATGTATGATAATTTACAAGGACTAATTAACAGAAGATAAATGAAAAGAGTCGTTTAGCACTAAGCGAGCAGTATCGAAATTTCCTTGCTATCATTTACTAAAAGACTAAAAGAAATTATTCAGGATTCAGTAATGGGAGCCTAAAAACTAGGAACCAACTTCAGGCTCTCGGATGGGGAGAATGTAACAGCGTCCACAGTCCGTGTCGGTGTCAGTTTTGTTTTGTTTTCTTTCTTTTTCGTTTTAGAAACCTTCCCTTGGAGTAACGTTTTAGTAATTCTGTTCTGAATAGTTAGCTCTTAATGTGGTAAACATGCTTTTCTTATTTTCTCTTCGTTTTACTGCCCTCTTTCCTCATTCAGCGCTTTGTTTTTGTCTCTATGAAGAGTTTATATCTCGTCTATCGAGTTAAAAGGTGCAAATTTTATAAACACGTAAATTGAGATTTAGCCAGCAAAGTTTTTCGGCTCGGGTGATGCTGTCTATGTTTGAGGGATGTTTTTTATAAAGCTGGTAGTTAATAAATGGCCGTACATATTACTTCACATTTAACAGGTACGTAATAAACAAAGCAAAAGTACAACATACCTTTAAATTTAAATTTTCACTTTCTTACTTTCGTTTCCATCAACAATACTGTGTATTCATTGTATTTAGCAAGTCTTCTAACGCTAATTTCTATTTCTAATTTTGTTCAGAAAACCTTTAGTTTGACATCTACCGTTTCCGCACGAATGCTTTGCCAGAGTACCTCTTTTGACTCTGATTAACTGATTGTTTCTGGGATATATCGATATCCGACACATACATTGTGTTCTATTTTTTACATTGTGATGAATGTTGGTATAAGTGTTGCTCCCGCGAAGCAACTATGTGTAAAGAATGAAGCAGACATTTTTGCAAGATGGCCGCCTTAAACTGATCTCTCATGACTGGCCGAAATAATGGAACACGATAAACAAGAGAATAGATGGACCGCCGTGGACCGACCTCTAAACCTGAGTCCTGTTTGTAGCCATTGTTCATACTTTGTAGCAGTTAAAAATAAGGATTTACGACCAATATTTAAGTTAAGTTTCGGAATCCAAGATGGTCGTCATCGTTTCCGATTGATTGATAGATCCGATGCTACTTTTTGCGTAGCAGCATTTACTGCATGACTACGAGGAAGTTAAGGGAACTCTAATATTTTATGATTCAATCAATACTGGTATATTTTCCCCTTAATTGGTTTCTATATACCTTAAAGGCGGACCAGTACATGAAAATATACCAAACTAGGAATTCAACGATTGGTTGAATACGCTACATCGTCTACCGACTGAACAAATATCGTTGTCAAACACATTCTTTAATTTAATTTTTTATTTTCCCCACACCATAGACAGATCAAATTAAGATTCTCAACTTTTTGACATTTTTAATAGCGCACAGGTAAGGAAGTAAAGTTAATGTATGTGAGAATTGCTTCTGCAACTGTATGTATAGTTCCCCAACATACAGTTGTGGGATCGCACAACGTTACACGATGTGCGGTGTGCGCATGATGTGTGCACGGTGTGTGAACGATGTGTGCACGGAGTGCGAACGATACAAAATTGGACGATCATTGCTTGCGCACATTTTTGCGGACGATGGGCGAATGTTGTGCGATAACAATCGTGGTTGGTGTAAATTGAGGAATGCCTTAACAACAATACGGTTTCGTGTTTAAACATATAAACTTGATTTTTATGTATGTTTCTATATTCTAGCTACATCTATAAGCTTATCTTTCTGTCTAAATTTTCTTAAATTTAGAAATGGTGTTTTCGGTGTTTTTTAAACAACCTAAATGGACACATGTAAAATTACAACACAGTCTCGGCAATACGGGTAAACATAGCCACTTTGTACCTGTACCTAGACCGTAGTTATCCCCCGCCCGGGGCACTTACGTAACTCGACAAGATGTGAAAACCAGGTGAAGGGGAGCTATAGACCAAAACGAATGCAAATAACAAATACTTAACGTCCAGTTGGGTTTTCATAACGGTCATACGGTATCACATATTCGCTCTATGTGTTAGGGACAGGCCAGAAAAAACTCCGGTCACTCATCAAATTGTTATTTACCTGTTCTGTTACCTAGAAGCTAAACCCATTCTTGACAGTCTAACGGTCACTGTAACGCTGTATACATGTAACAGGCATTGTAGAATTGTACATAATCTTAGTTATTGTGATGAGCAATTACAGTAATATATACAGTGTACATTATTGCATACGAGCCTTCAGTATTTTTTGCATTCCGTTATATTGATCAACAAATTGTACCAAATAGCACAGTTGTGCGGAGAAAAGCGTACAACGGGGCGAGCGATTGTTAAATCGCACAGTTGTGCGCACCATTTGTGGACGATGTGCGGAAGGTGTGTGAACGATGTATGCACGGTGTGCGCACGGATTTTTTGGTGCGTTGTGCGGTCACACAACTGTAGTTATATTCCTTTCTCGGTCCCAGGGGGAAATAGAAAGCGTAAGTACGTAAACTTTATTTATTTTACAACAATTATTTCAACTTATATTAATCACTCTTGTTGGCCCGGATATTAGCGCGCATGGGTCTTAATGTGGGAGAAAACCGAAGTACCTGGAGAAAACCCACGTGGTCGGGCATATGACCATACCTTTTCACGTCCGATCGGGGAATCGATCTTGGTGAAATTCCCCAGGATCCGAGAATGCTAATATTCCCACGTAATGAAGTAACTTTATCCTATAGTAAAGAAATATACTTTACATCAATTCTAATTATGTTAAAGACAAAACTCTAAGTATGTTGAATTGCCCGTGATGATCCATTAAAAGCTTCTTTTCACTGTCAGTACTCATGCCCATCCAAATGATATTTGTTTCTCTCTCAAAATGTGCTCTCAATTAAGAATATTTAGGGGGAAGTTATGTTTTAAAATCTTCATTCAGACTCGTTCATTGACACCGTTTGCGCCACCTGTATATTGACCAAGTAAGTATTCCAAAATCCCTACTAAAAGATTCTATAGTGTAAAAGACACAGCAATCAACGTCTCTTTTAGATAGCACTTCATTTACGTATTTGCATGTAGGTTGAGCGTGTGAAGGATTATACAATATACATAAGTATTTAAATAGCTAGCATAGGGGACCGGTACGTATAGAAAGACCCCTAGAAGAACAAATACGGGACATGCGCACGATAGGAACATACATGTATATATGGAGCTAGTGCGTCTGAACTGACGACTGGCATAAACGCAGAAATGCGCATGGCTGGCACATATAGAGATTAGACTCGGAAAGACATTAGAGGGGCTAATAAGTGAACTACAAATTGTATAGATATTGGAATCGGGATACGTGTACAGGGACTAATAAGGGAACTATGTTTGATTTTTAATTTGCCAATCGAGAGCTGGAATGACGCGAGAAGACACTCAAGAAAATCACGTTACTGATATATAATGTAGAAACACAGCACCTGTAACGTGTAGATGTACTAAGAAATATGATTAATAATGATAAAATATTCTGTAGCGACACTACTAAATGAGTTACACGTGATACAGGTCGACTGCCATCACAGTTGCCGCAATGGATACGCATGGCGTAAGGTACAATACCTGGCGACGGGCCGTGGGGACTAAGGGACGTCGCCTCATTGATTTATATGATAAAACGTGTACAACGACGGACAATCAAAACTTATGTATGTCACCAATCCTCCTAACGACCTGATTAACTGCTGTTCAGAGAACTTCCTCTTCAATTTGTGGCCCGCCGGGGGAATCATTGACGCCACAATGTAATAATGCTGCCAATACGGAAAGGATTTTACGATGGCGGACCTTAGCGAACATTGTTTCTACAACGTAGACGTCTACAGTCTGTTGTGCAATTCGAGGACAGAGCAATTCTCACGGTCGATGCTTTATTTTACATATGAATATTTCTTAAAGTACGGAAAGTTAAGTGTTTATGCCTTATTATGTTACCAAATGGTTACAAGGGACATTCTCTAGACAAGATGTACTTTCCATTCTTATACTTTATCCTAGAGTCCAAATCCGTTTGGCAACGCAACCACTTCTCTCGTCTGTGGAACATTTCAGAACGATCACAATAAATTTTAGAAAATAAATTCCCGCTCTTTTGTTTATGTCGTCTGCGTGTTGGCCTGTCTGGGAATGAAACATCTATGGAGGGTCCAGGCCGACCACAAGACACATACGTCTTCCGGTAATGGCCGGCTTGGTGTCTGTCTGGACAAGCCCGGCCTGTACATACTATTTGTATTCTAATTATCTAGCTTGTTACCCCTTTGATACATTTTATTGTTTTGTCACAGGAAGGGGCTTAGTAAGGGTACACGGCGTGTTCTCTTATTTTTGGCCATACCACGTTGCTATCATGGGCTTGCAATAATTTGCAATCGGAGTAGTGGCACTGTGTCATCCCCGCCCAGAGTAATGCTATTATAGAACAATGTGGTGTTATATGCATATTGCTAATGACACGGAGACCAATAATTAAACCAATGCGTAAAAAAATACCAATTTTAGTAAACGATAACTTTTATTGTAAGAGGTAGCAAAGATTTGTGTTAAATAAAGAAAACTATGATGTTTTTCAAGCTTAAATGTCATTTTCAAACATTTTTAACACATCAACAATTCCATTAACACTGCCGATATCTGTTCAGTCTTCCGTTCGAATTCTAACAATTCAGCAGCTTATCTTTCCATCATCTTGAACCTATCATTAGACTGAGATTCCATTCCCGATGAGTTCCGAAAGGTGCATTGAATTAAATAAAAATAAGTATTGCATGGTTTGTGATTGAATAGAACCTATATCTTAAGGTTACTTTGGTATAACCGTGACTGTATTTGACGGCTTGTGGTTGTGTTAAAATGCTCGTAGCTATTTTGGAATGTACTTCGATGTGTTGGACGGTTCGTGGGTGTATTGGACGGTTCGTGGGTGTATTGGACGGTTCGTGGGTGTATAAGCCGGTTCGTGGGTGTATTGGACGGGTCGTGGGTGTATAAGCCGGCTCGTGGGTGTATTGGACGGGTCGTGGGTGTATTGGACGGCTTGTTGGTGTATTGGACGGTTCGTGGGGGTATTGGACGGCTTGTTGGTGTATTGGACGGGTCGTGGGTGTATTGGACGGTTCGTGGGTGTATTAGACGGCTCGTGGGTGTATTGGACGGTTCGTGGGTGTATAAGCCGACTCGTGGGTGTATTGGACGGCTCGTGGGGGTATTGGACGGTTCGTGGGGGTATTGGACGGCTTGTTGGTGTATTGGACGGGTCGTGGGTGTATTGGACGGCTTGTTGGTGTATTGGACGGCTCGTGGGTGTATTGGACGGTTCCTGGGTGTATTGGACGGCTCGTGGGGGTATTGGACGGTTCGTGGGTGTATTGGACGGCTTGTGGGTGTATAGGCCGGCTCGTGGGTGTATTGGACGGTTCGTGGGGGTATAAGCCGACTCGTGGGGGTATTGGACGGCTCGTGGGTGTATAAGCCGGTTCGTGGGGGTATTGGACGGTTCGTGGGTGTATTGGACGGGTTCGTGGGTGTATTGGACGGTTCGTGGGTGTACTGGACGGTTCGTTGGTGTATTGGACGGCTCGTGGGTGTATTGGACGGTTCGTGGGTGTATTGGAAGGTTCGTGGGTGTATTGGACGGTTCGTGGGGGTATTGGACGGTTCGTGGGTGTATTGGACGGCTCGTGGGGGTATTGGACGGTTCGTGGGTGTATTGGACGGCTTGTTGGGGTATTGGACGGTTCGTGGGTGTATTGGACGGCTTGTGGGTGTATAGGCCGGCTTGTGGGTGTATTGGACGGTTCGTGGGTGTATTGGAAGGTTCGTGGGTGTATTGGACGGGTCGTGGGTGTATTGGACGGCTTGTTGGTGTATTGGACGGTTCGTGGGGGTATTGGACGGTTCGTGGGTGTATTGGACGGCTTGTTGGTGTATTGGACGGTTCGTGGGTGTATTGGACGGGTTCGTGGGTGTATTGGACGGTTCGTGGGTGTATAAGCCGGTTCGTGGGTGTATTGGCCGGTTCGTGGGTGTATTGGACGGCTCGTGGGTGTATTGGACGGCTTGTGGGTGTATAAGCCGGCTCGTGGGTGTATTGGACGGTTCGTGGGTGTATTGGACGGTTCGTGGGTGTATAAGCTGGCTCGTGGGTGTATTGGACGGCTCGTGGGTGTATTAGAAAGTTCGTGGGTGTATTGGACGGCTTGTGGGTGTATTGGACGGCTCGTGGGTGTATTGGACGGTTCGTCTCTTATGCCTATGACTGTATAATGCTGTTTTCGGTATTGGGAGGCTCATGGCTTCTATAGAATGCTGGTGGTTGTATCGCACGGCTCATTGATGTTTCTATGCTTGTGGCTGTATTTGACCGCTCATGACTTTACTAGTACATCTGTATGTTCGTGGTTGCATGGACGGCTGTGGGCTAAATATCACTCCTCTTAGCCGGTTTTTCTGGTATAATTATCGGTATATAGCTGACAAACTGTGCATAGTCCCGATTGGTAGTATTTCGGTCTATAACCTCACCGTCATATCCCAAAGTAAAGGTTATCTCTGTCTTTGCGTCTCCCTCCGTTGCAGCTCCGCACTATTCCCGGTGTTTGGAACGTTAGTCCACCAACTCAACGTAAAGTCGAATGTGTCGCTCTCAGTAATCCGGATTTATGGTCCTACTCCGGGACGACGACTAGAAAACCATTCTTAATGATAAAAACCTAAACTGTTCTGTGTAATCAAATTGTGAAAGAAGACCAATTCTGATACCGGTTATTGGTGCAACCCGATATTTTGTGATTCCACTAACACAACTGTACTCCCATATACATTGTACCTCGGTACGTACTTTTATAGGTTTTACACACTCCTGTATAATTTTGATACATATAGGTGTATAAAACCATTCGTTACATGTCATATAGGTCTGGGAAAGCCGTTCAGTTAAGATAGACAGCACATTGAAACACCATACATACAGCCATAGTCTGACATTTGTTCCATAACTACTATGTTCTACTATAGAGCCCTGCAGGTCGGGGATCGAGAAAAGTATACACCTGCTGTTACCCACTGCATGGATCGTAAGAGGCGAGTAATGTGGGGACATGTATGTGTGCTGGGAGCACAATATTGGTGTATTTGCCGCCTTGCGATAGCGCGGATATATTGCCGACTTTAGAGTGCTACAGACGTATCTCACTGATGGCCGAAGGCACCCAGCAAAGTATTCCACCTGGTCTCATTATTTAGCTGGGAATAACAATGTCCTGGGACATGGAATGGTTGTTTTGTAATGCTTAACAGAAAGTAGAAGCATGCGGTCTAGGGACCTTCAGACACTAATCGCCTTGTATACAAAATCTGTAATTGGTCTAAATTGGCAACAGAGAATAGAACAATTTATGTTACAGAGTAACCTGCAACCGCTATTAGAACCAGATTTAGACAAAGTACAATGTATTGTTGTTGATAAACATAAGAATTAGGATAGGTCAAACTGGTGACAGGAACTGTGGTATGACCGTGGAAATGAGAATGGGAGACAACTTGGTACTTATGGGGCGTTATGAAACTAAAATTTAATCTGAACGCTTTACTGTACCAGAAACACATATATTATACAAAAGGATTGGTGTATTTTTTAATGTTGAATGTAGGTTTTGTTGAGAATGAAACTCGTTTCCGTCTGAAATGTGAGGTTTAAAATGACCTGCGCGATATACTTTTTAACAAGCTACTAGAGTCGACCTTAGATGGAAAATTAAATTCTAGTGACATTGTACATACACTGATATTTAAACATGGGACACTTCAATAACATATTTTAAACTAATACCTTCACACATACTGATAACAGTAAAGCTAAGATATATGTATTGCTCATGGAAATTGAAAGAAACAAATATGTTTGGCATTTGTGTTAGTGTGTATTTTTTGTTTATTTTTAATACGTTACCAACATAGATAACATCCCCTTGTAATATCTACAATTTTTTAAGGATCTACGACACACGATTTGTTCGGCAATAAGATATATCTGAAGCTTGTAATTACACCACCTCATTTTCTTCGCGTGTAAAGTTAATATAAATTGTTGATGCATATATTTGATAATTTTTCAATTTTCTGCCTTATTAACAGAACATATGGCAGTAGTAAAAAAAAGGAGTATTACGTAATTGATGAAGAAAATTTAATTGATTTATTTCGTTCATGCGAGGCGTTTTATCTACGTCACCGTGACACGTGATTGTTGATTATTCAGTAGTTGTCAAGGTGATCAAATCAGCGCTCTCAGAAATTATCAATTTCAATCAGATTGTCTTGTTAATACTTCAAATTGCCGTAGACGTGGAGCAGTGTTAGCGCCGATGTGTTGATTATAAATAATTGATGTAATTGTTGAGTTACACAGATTTCAACGAAGGTAAATTGTTATCTACATGGCTGTACGCGCACGCGCACGATGTCATAAAACATTCATGTAAGCACAGATTGTAACCTAAAACAGTGTTATGCGGAACATTTATATACCATATTACAAGTTACAATGTACATGTATAATGGTGTACTCGGATGTCATCACGATCAATTAATGTACGTGTATGTTACCATTAGTGAGAAATGTACGCGTATGTTACCATTATTGAGTAATGTACGTGTGTGTTACAATTATTGAGTAATGTAGGTGTATGTTACCATCATTGAGTAATGTACGTGTATGTTATCATTATTGAGTAATGTCCGTATATGTTCCCATTAGTGAGAAATGTACGTGTATTTTACCATTATTGAGTAATGTCCGTATATGTTACCATTCGTGAGAAATGTACGTGTATGTTACCATTATTGAGTAATGTACGTGTATGTTATCATTATTGAGTAATGTCCGTATATGTTACCATTAGTGAGAAATGTACGTGTATGTTACCATTATTGAGTAATGTACGTGTATGTTCCCATTATTGAGTAATGTACGTCTATGTAACCATTATTGAGTAATGTACTTGTATGTTACCATCATTGAGTAATGCACGCGTATGTTACCATTATTGGGTAATGTACGTGTATGTTACCATTTTAAGTAGTGTACGTGTATGTTCCCATTATTGAGTAATGTACGGGTGTGTTACCATAATTGAGTAATGTACGTGTGTGGGGGGATTATTGAGTAGTGTACGTGTATGCTATCATTATTGAGTAGTGTATGTGTATGTTATCATTATTGAGCAATGTACGTGTATGTTACCGTTTTTGAGTAATGTACGTGTATGTTGCCATTATTGAGTAATGTACGGGTATGTTACCATTATTGAGTAGTGGACGTGTATGTTATCATTATTGCGTAGTGTACGTGTATGTTACCAGTATTGAGTAATGTACGTGTCTGTTATCATCATTGAGTAGTGTACGGGTATGTTACCATTATTGAGGAGTGTACGTGTATGTTACCCTTATTGAGTAATGTACGTGAATGTTACCATTATTGAGTAAGGTACGTGTATGTTACCATTTTTGAGTAATGTACGTGTATGTTTCCATTATTGAGTAATGTACTTGTATGTTACCATCATTGAGAAGTGTACGTGTATGTTATCATTAGTGAGTATTGTACGTGTATGTTACCATTATTGATTAGTGTACAGGTATGTTATCATTATTGAGTACTGTACGTGTGTGTTACCATTATTGAGTAATGTGCGTGTGTGTTACCATCATTGAGTAATGCACGCGTATGTTACCATTATTGTGTAATGTACGTGTGTGTTAACATTATTGAGTAGTGTACGGGTATGTTATCATTATTGAGTAATGAACGGGTGTGTTACCATCATTGAGTAGTGTACGGGTATGTTACCATTATTGAGTACTGTACGTGTGTGTTACCATCATTGAGTAATAGACGCGTATGTTACCATTATTGGGTAATGTACGTGTGTGTTACAATTATTGAGTAATGTAGGTGTATGTTACCATCATTGGGTAATGTACGTGTATGTTACCCTTATTGAGTAGTGTACGTGTATGCTATCATTATTGAGTAATGTACGTGTGTGTTACCATCATTGAGTAATATACGCGTATGTTACCATTATTGAGTAATGTACGTGTGTGTTACCATTATTGAGTAGTGTACGTGTATGTTACCATTATTGAGTAATGTACGTGTATGTTATCATCATTGAGTAGTGTACGTGTATGTTATTATTATTGAGTAATGTACGTGTGTGTTACCATCATTGAGTAGTGTACGTGTATGTTATCATTATTGAGTAATGTACGTGTATGTTACCATTATTGAGTAATGTACGCGTATGTTATCATCATTGAGTAGTGTACGTGTATGTTATTATTATTGAGTAATGTACGTGTGTGTTACCATCATTGAGTAATGTTCGTGTATATTACCATCATTGAGTAATGTACGTGTATGTTATCATTATTGAGTAATGTACGGGTGTGTTACCATCATTGAGTAATGTACGTGTGTGTTACCATTATTGAGTAGTGTACGTGTATGTTATCATTATTGAGTAATGTACGGGTGTGTTACCATCATTGAGTAATGTACGTGTATGTTATCATTATTAAGTAATGTACGTGTGTGTTACTATTATTGAGTAATGTACGTGTATGTTATCATTATTAAGTAATGTACGTGTGTGTTACTATTATTGAGTAGTGTACGTGTAAGTTATCATTATTGAGTAATGTACGTGTGTGTTACTATTATTGAGTAATGTACGTGTATGTTATCATTATTAAGTAATGTACGTGTGTGTTACTATTATTGAGTAGTGTACGTGTAAGTTATCATTATTGAGTAATGTACGTGTGTGTTACTATTATTGAGTAGTGTACGTGTAAGTTATCATTATTGAGTAATGTACGTGTGTGTTACTATTATTGAGTAATGTACGTGTATGTTATCATTATTGAGAATGTACGTGTATGTTATCATTATTGAGTAATGTACGTGAATGTTACCATTATTCAGTAATGTACGTGTGTGTTACCATTATTGAGTAGTGTACGTGTATGTTACCATTATTGAGTAATGTACGTGTCTGTTATCATCATTGAGTAGTGTACGTGTATGTTATTATTATTGAGTAATGTACGTGTGTGTTACCATCATTGAGTAATGTACGTGTATATTACCATCATTGAGTAATGTACGTGTATGTTACCATTATTGAGTAATGTACGTGTATGTAACCATTATTGAGTAATGTACGTGTATGTAACCATCATTGAGTAATGTACGTGTATGTAACCATTATTGAGTAATGTACGTATGTGTTACTATTATTCAGTTATGTACGTGTATGTTACCATTAGTGAGTAATGTACGTGTATGTAACCATTAGTGAGTAATGTACGTGTATGTTACCATCATTGAGTAATGTACGTGTATGTTACCATTATTGAGTAATGTACGTGTATGTTACCATTTTACTGTGATGAAATACTTGCATCACAAGAACAGAAAAGGTTCAACTCTCCTGAATGAGGAGACAAACACAGCCGTACCC